TGGGGAATTCTGGGAGTTGAAGTCCACCCATCTTAAAGTTGCCAAGGTTGAGGAATCCTGGAATGTAGGATAGAGGCAACAGAAAACACTCACATACAGACTTGTAAATTTCCATTTCACTGTTGTGTCTTGGATAGTTTTTTTCAAAATAAAACATCTCCCCAACCCTTATAGGGAGATATAAACAACGCCTGTCCAGAGAGTCCAGGGTTTTGGTGGCTCTTTTGAGTCTGGGTCAATCTCATTGGGTACAGTTTAAAAAAAAAACTGTGACATCACCCCCAAAGGCTTTTTGTACTCAAAAGAAAAAGCAGCTTTCTCTTCCCCCTCCTGCAAACAGCCCATGAATGAAGGGAAAGCCGAACTCGGACAGTCTTACGCTCTGGGATTTTACACAATTGCTAAAACGGTAAATAGCATCTTCTCTAATTTGGCCCCAAAATTAGGGGCGAATGCAAAAAGCACAGCTGACAGGCTGAATGTGGCCTAGCATAATTTTGGGGATGCCCCCCTCAGTCCCCATTTTATTTTTTTTAAATACAAATAAAGCTCACTGCATTCCTTTTCAGGAATTGCTCCACCGTTCTGCCCATGTTTGGAATTCGATCCTTGACGTGTTGTTTTAAGGCTGGAACAGCTTTCAAGCTGACTGTAGCTGTCTGCCCACTTTAAGGGCCCATTTGTTTAAGTTGGCATTACTGTCATTCCGGTGTATCACCATAACAGTAAAGGAGACATAAAAATCCCAGCCGCGAGGGCGAACTTTTGTTTGCTGAAATGTATCAGAAGGCACTGATGCCCATATTTTTCATAAGCCCATTCAATTTAAATTTCTAAAAGATCTATTAAACCGCTCCCAATTTAGAAGGGGTTTTCCTCCCTTCCCCCCACTTAGCGCAGAGTCTGACTCTTAAGACCCCATTCCAAAATCATCAGTCCTTTTCATACCCCTTTTATTGGCAGCTATATAAAAAAAAACATATGTACAATTTTAAGGCAATGCTGCACTTTGGGATCAGCGCCGTCTCTTGGCTGTGCTGGGTGGGGCTGGGGCCGTCCGCGCGGCTGCCCTCCTCTTGCCGGTCCTGGTAGAGGGACCAACGGGGCTGGAGGTAGCAGAAGGGCCGCTGTTGCCGTTCAGGCGGTGAGCCTCCAAGTCCACCTTCTGCTGCAGAATACCCGTCAGGATGAACTCCGAGTTGGCGATGGGAACTCCTGCCTCCTGTGCTGGTTTGCAGCGGGCCAAGTCCTCAGGGCAGGAAACCACAATACGTTTGTCCTTAAATAGGTTACAGAAAGGTCAGATTGTACCCCTTCATTCAGTTATCCTGCAGAAGAGCCAAGCCTTAGATGTATTCTGTATTTTATGTATATTTATGGTTTTAATGTTTTTGTAAGTCGCCAGAGTCCCCCATTGGGGGGAGATGGGCGGGGGAGAAATTTGATTGATGAATGAATGAATGAATGAATGAATGAATGAATGAATGAATGAATGAATGTCATACATTTCTGGCATGGCCTCAACACACACACAACTAGTGTGCCTGCTAGAGAACAAGTGTGGGGTAATGGTGAAGGTGTTGCACCAGGAGTGGGGAGACCTATGCTCTAGTCCTCCTCAGCTACAGAAGTTCCCTGGGGGATTCTGGGCCAGGCTGTCTCTCTCTCAGCCCAACTTATGACTCAGTGTGGTAATAAACAAATCAGCAAAGTAACACCTCCCACTACTGTATATAAACAGAGAGAAAACCCCACACTCCCTCACGCTGATGATGTTACCTAGTTGGGTAGTGAAACATCTGCAAGCAAACCACCAAGCTCAGAGAGCACCAAGGACTCCACGCCTCCCCACTCACCTTATAGGCTCGAGGCATTCTCGGTAAGAATGTCCCACCACTGCACTTAACAATGTCTTTCATGTGCTCTGGTTCTGGCTTCACGTTAGGAGTGACATGGATCTCGTAGCCCTGGAAAGAGACAATCTCTGGAATACAACTACTATGTGCCAGGAATGTGGGGAAAAAAGGAAAGGAACATCACATCGTAGCAGGTTGGCAGCTGATGGACCCAAAGCCAAATCAGCAGCCTTCACCAACCTGGTTCCCTTCCCTTTACAGGCGTGTTGGACTCAAACGACAGTTCTCATGATCCCCAAATATTCTGTGTGGACTCATGATTATGGAGCTGTCGTTTAATGTGCCTGGAGGCCACTAGATTGGGGAGAAACTGGTTTAGAACAAGAGCCAAATTCAAACATGTTACTTTTGCACCTGGACCTTTCCAGCACTGGGGAAAGCTGTGTGTGAGGGTGCTTCTCCGTCCTGGTAGCCTGGATACTGGATTTTTGTGGAATAACCTGGGCCCAGGACTGCTGATGATGGGCTCACCTGGAACAGGCCCCCGTTTTGCTGTACTTTCTGCAGCGACGTGGAGAGGCTGAACCGCAAGTTCTTCTCCTGCTCAGGGTCCCGAACAAGGAAGCTGCTTGGTGCCAGGAAAAAAGCATTCCGTCTACTCTGTGGGGTGGAAGCAGGAAAACAGGAAGGTCATTCCCATATAGGAACTGCTGGATCTTTTTCCTTTCCTCCCTAAAAGCAGGTCCCGTCACTCCTGGAGCCATTAGCCAAACCATTTACAAAATGCTATAAACTGGAGGGCTGTGGAAAAGGCACTTCATAATGCTTCATAAGGCTCATTAAAGCAGCTGCATCTGTTTCCAGGCTCACATGTAGGCTTCCAGCACATCACCCTTCAGCAGCTGCATGATCCCTGACCCAGATGCAGTGGTTTTAATGAGTTGCCGACAGATACTACATTTGCACTCCCATGCATTCCAAAATACCTCTTCCAAACTGAATCCCAAACATTGCACTGCCTTAATAAATGGTCCCTTTCCCAGATCAGTGTCAGTCCCAGTATTGTGCTCTTGCCTGTCAGAGGCTCCCAGGTTTTTTTATAAGCCTGAGATTGGATAATATTTAAGTGGAGTTGCTTGATCAGCCCAGAAAGTACAGTAGCTGGATGCAAAGCTTGCACTCTCCCACTGAGCTATCCCTTCCGCTAAGGCCAGGTTCATATTCTAGCACTCAGCAAATTCAACTCAGCAGCACCCTTCTCTTATACTCAAAAAAAATAAAATGGCTCATCTTCAGAGAAATGTATTCCTTGTACTCCTGTGTGAGTCACTGTTCTGATAGATCCCCAATAGCACAAACGTTTCCTTTCATTTGGGAGTCACACTCAGAAACACAGATTTCTGCTAATATACCTTGGGCAGACTCCTCCGAAAGGCAGATAGGTATGCATTGGGAAAAATACCATATTGGTGCAGAAATGGGAAAGAATTCCTTGCCCTCATCAGAAGCAGAGCCAGAGCAGTAAAGCATGCAGAGAAGCAGCATGAAACCTCTCTGGGAGTGAGTGCATTGGAGGTGCAGAGGCCAGTTCTTGATTCAATTTATTTCTCACAAAAATCAATCAGCAGCTGCCTTGCAGGACAAAAAGCTGAGGTCTAGGATGGATCCATCTGACTTTAAGACATGGAAAAGTATCAGAAAAGTGGGTCACCTTCTCCAGCCAGTCAAGGGTCACAATGGGGATTCCACGAGCAAGAGCACACAGGAACTTGACCGTGCGGCGTACGCGGTCCGTCACGAGGTGGGTGCAGTCAAAGACAGATTCTGCTAGACAGCCCCCCAATTCAGCCACTACACGCTCCCCTTCCTCATCAATCACACCTGTGAACAGCACCTGAAAAGAGAGAGGGAGGACATTCAACAAACTCTGCCCTGTCATCTGGACACAGGCATGGATTAACCATGTTTTTCAAGAATCAGGACTCAAACTTCCACTCCTCTGAGTTTTCTTCTTTGTTTCACTTTTTCTCTGCACAGATTGAAAAGAACAAAAAGCCACATTAGGGGACCTGTGGATAATCTAACATATGTACAGGTAGTCCTTGTTTAGCGACCACAATTGGGACTGGCAACTCGGTCGTTAAGCAAAGTAGTCACTAAGTGAAACCACGACTGTCCTCATGATCTCACTTCAGCTTTCCTTTGCTTTACAGACCTGCAAAGGTCTTAAATATGAGGACTGGTCACAAAGTTACTTTTTCATCACTGTCATAACTGCAAACAGTGGCTAAACAAGGACTACCTGTAATGGTAGAAGATGAGAGGACATGTGGAATTATCCCTGCATCCCACATATACACTGCATATACCTCCTGGTTGGTCAGATGCGGGCAACAGTATATCAACTTGCAAGGTCATCTCTAGATTAGAGATCCTCGTTTGCAGAGCAGCTTGAAAGTGGTGGGAAAAACCGGGCTTTAGTTGCACTGGTGGCATCCTGAGAAACTGTGCCCAAACTGACTGGTCCTGTTCTCATCATTAGGAAGGAATCTTGTCTACAACTTGGTTATGACTAAGGCTGGTATTCCAGTGCACATCTTCCCTGCCTTGCTAAAAAGCTTGCTATGAAAGCATTGTCCGACCAAAGCCACGGTGGATGGCAGAGATCATTAAGCAGGAGCCCATCCAGGGACGGCCATGGCATACAGAACGCTGAGACTTGGAATGGGAGAAGAATGAAGGGATGCTAAGGAGCACGAATGAATAAATGAAATGAAAGAAAAATAGCCAAGCTGTGACACTAAAACAGATTGATTACTGTGGGTTTTGTTAAAGTTGGGGGGGGGGGTATTTGCTCACTGCATGTGATAAGGGAGCTTGGAAGGAGGATTTTTGCCCTAAAGAGCAACTTTAAAATATTTTAAATAAAGATAGTGCAATCACTGTCTTTTCTTGCTTGCTTGCTTGCTCCTTTTCTCCCTCATTTCAGTTGTCTCCGTTGAGTCTGTCTCAAGTCTATAAGCCTGTTTGAAGCAGGCCATCCTCTCATTTCGGGGAAAAGAACCAGGAGAGCACAGAGCCATGTGATGGTTTTGTGCCCTACCTGAGGCCAGGGAGGGGAATATGGCTAAAGATGCTCCTAGAATAGAGGGTTGATTTGAGCAGGGAGAGCTTTAAGGGGCAAAATGATGCTTTAACTCTTTTGCCGTTTCACTCCCCACCTCCAAAACACGAAAATCAGCACGGCTTCCATTTCGCTCCTTCAGCCCCAATCCCCTCTCTAAAAGGCAAAACTGGATCCACAATTTCAGTCTTGCTCAATTCTGGGAGGGCTCCAAGGGGAAGCTGGTCGGAAGCCATACGTGGTAACCCAGCTGTGAGTTGCCCACTCTTGCTATGGATGCTGGCATAGAAACAGTGATTTCTCACCCTTAGCGGCCCAGAGAGCAACAACGTTTAGAACTAACCAGCAACATTTTCTGCACAACTTTCTTCTCAATCAGGTTGGGATAAGCAAGCCACCCAAGAATCTTTCTGGATTTGGGCATCCTTAACAAATCTAATCAGTCAATAAATAAGGAGGCTGTAACCTCACAAATCTAGTTGGCATTTGTGACTGTGGCACACTGGCCTGATGACATCCATTAGTAAGAGAAGGAGGGCACCGACTGCTTTGAAATCCAAGCATTTTGTCTTGCCCCATTTTTACCTCCCAGGTTCAAAATGACACATTTCATCTCTCGCTCTGCCATCTCTGTCAAAATTAATCCACCCCGCCGAGGCTCAGCACTTGGACCTCCTGGAGGATGAGAGCCAAAACACAAGTTCCAGGCGAAGGGGACAAGTGAAGTCCCCAGAATGGACTTGAAAAGAACCCCCCAGAACTTAACAGCATGCAAAGTTTGGCTAGCCTCTTGAGGGAGCAAATTCCAAGGAAAATTCTCATCTTCTTGCGTGGGTAGCTACAATTCAATGCTCATATGGAAAAGGCGGGGACTGTTCTCTTCTGGTGGCCTACACGGTTTCTTGAGAGATGGCGGGAGGAAGAGGAGAGACAGGATCCTCTGCCCCTCCTCTATGAGTGCATGCACTTGAGT